AAGATGCGCGCGGCGCAGGGGCAGGATGGCTTGTTGTTCTTCCCCAAGCAGCGCACGGTCATGCAGGAGCTGTACTTGTCGTGGTCCAGCGTCAGCGGCTCCGTCGTCGTGTTTGTGTAGCCCATGCCATCAAGCTCGAACAACTTTTCGAGCACGACCTTCACGGTCTCGTCCTGCATGCACGTGCCGTCGGCGTAGAACAGCCGGCCCTCCCTCGCCGCGCTCTCGAGGTTGTAGTAGCAGGTCTTGCCGCGGCGCTTGCCGACGAGGGGCTGAGGAACCGTAGGTTCATCGGGCGCCGAGAACATCGCCGACGTCAGGTAGTCGTTTGGCGGAGCATTCAGCGGCTTGTCGACGTCCGGGATCTCCTCGTCCTCCTCGTCCTCGGCGGCCTTGGACTGGGCCACGGAGAGCACGGGCCGCAGCAGCTCGGCCAGCAACGCGAGCTGCTGCTCCGGCGTGAAGCCCTGGAGCGCCGAGCCGGCCTTGAACGGCGACGGCGGCTGCATGGACGCGGGCCGCTTCTTCGGCGTCGGCACCGGCGCGGACGCCGGCGCCGGCGCCGGCGCGTCGGGCGCCGGCGCGGAGGACCGGTTGCCCATGGCGGCGACCACCTCGCCCAATTCCTGGGCTGCCGAGTTCCTTCGGATCGTCAACCAAATCTCAATTCCTGGGAGCGTCACCTTCAATTCCTGTGATAATACCCAGCGCCGCGCATGCCGCCGCGGCCGCTTGCTTGAAGCTGTTGCAGCTCGCCGGCACCGCTGTGTGTCGCCGCGCGCACCGAGCCATGCTCGCCATGCGCGCGATCCTGCGATCGGTGCTCGTCGTCGCCGTCGTCGGTGCCATGAACCTGCCGCGGCGCTTCGGCGGCCAGAGCAACGGCCCGCGGCGCGCGCTCGCCGGCGCCGCGGGCGCCGCCCTGCTGGCCAAGCCTTTGAGCGCCGTCGCCTTCGGGCGCGAGGCGGCGCTCGCCGACAAGCTCGGCGCCGTGCCGGCCTTCTTCGTCGCGAACTCGCGGGGGTCGCCCTACCTGCTGAACAAGGAGGCGGAGGGCGCGCAGGAGTGCGTGATCTTCCTCGAGCCGCGCGACGCCGAGGCCTTGCTGAGCGAGATGACGCAGGCGAGCCCGCAGCTCAGCGACGCGCGCGTCTTCTGCGTGGGCTTGGACAAGGCCCTGGGCATGCTGAAGCGCAAGCCCCAGCCGAGCGGCAACGTCGCGCGCAACGGCAAGGAGCTCGTGCTCCGGTACCGGCTCCAGCCCTCCGCGAAGCAGCTCCAGAACGCGCGGGGCCGCCTCGGCAAGCTCTTCGACACGAAGACGCTGCCCTGCTTCATCTGCCCGGAGCTCGCCGTGGGCGGCAAGACGCCGGTGTTCATGGCGCTCGAGGACCTGACGGAGGCGTGGGCGACGCAGGGCACGGGCCGGCCGGCGAACGTCGACGTCCACAACCTGCTGGATTTGGTCGTCGCGTCGGAGCTGCCCGACGCCATGGGCGACTTCGACGACCTCCTCTTCTACCCGCAGCCGGGCGCGGTGAAGTACGTCCGCTCGAACCGGAAGCGCGGCAACATGAACTCGCGGCTCCACGCGTCGATCAACTAGGTAGCGTAATGTGCGTTTAGAGCTACGCGTCGCTACCGGTCGATGAGCCCGCCGGCGTCGTCGTCGGTCCAGCCCGCGCGCCACTCGCGCATCCAGCCCGGGCCGCTCCGCTTCTCCATCTGGAGGTCGCGGAGCTTGCCCGGCGTGTGGTAGTAGGAGGCCTCGCCGAGGCCGTGGTAGCCGCGCATGCGGTGGATGTAGGCGGAGAACGTGGACCAGTAGGTGCCGGCCCAGACCCTGGCGCGCGTGCAGACGACCTGGTCGACCATGCCGTAGTAGTTCGGGTTCAGGTCGCGGAGGACGCCGTCCGTGAAGTCGCCGAGCATGACGACGTTCCAGCCCGCGTCCCGCGTGAAGGCCGTCCAGCTCGGGTCGTCGGGGCAGCCGTACTTCTTCGGCCGCGGCACCGGGTAGCTGTCGCAGGGCTTCCGCTCCCAGAGGCAGCCCTTGCACTTGCCCGCGGGGTCGTCGGTGGCGAGGTAGACGAGCGCGCCCCGCGGGATCTCCAGCTCCGCGAGGTTCGCGACGATGTCGCTGGCGGAGATCTTCGCCTCGCGGTACTGGAAGTCGTTGCGCCGCGCGTGGATCGCGTAGAAATCCGTCGCGTTCGTCGTCAACAACGCCTTCTTCCGCAATTCCAACAGCACCTTGTGCGCCGCGCACTGGATCGGGTCCTGGTAGCGCGCGTAGTCGCGGATGAAGCGCTTGTAGAAGCGGTTCACGGGGCCGTCCTCGAAGAAGAGGAAGCTGTAGTAGTTCCGCAGGATGCGGTGGTTGCCGCTCCCGGCGCTGTGGACGTGGCGCTTGTCCGCGAGGTCGAGGGCCACGGCCTTCTGGCCCCCCGGCGCGAGCTCGGGGACGTAGGACTCGCCGCCGAACTTCACCTGGGCAGGAAAAGGGTGCGAAATTCCCAACTTTGGAGGCTCCTATCTCGGTCATTTTCCACTCGTTTCGGCTGATTTTGGGACGAGCGATCATCCCTCGGAGCGCTCTCGAAGCGTGGGTGCTGTTTCCGAAACGCGCGCGCGCGGAACACTCACGTTGAAGCGACGTTGAATCACCCTTTTCCTGCCCTGAACTTCACGTAGCGGCCGCTCAGCGGCGGCAGCAGCGCGTCGGACGACTTCTCCACCAGCTTCCAGAGCTGGCGGCCGCTCGGCGTCTCCGCCACGGGCGCGCCCGCGATGGACTCTTTGAGGAACTCGGGCATGGTCTTGGTCCGCCAGCCCGGGTGCGACGCCAGAAGGCTCGTGTTGAGGAAGTCCGCCAAACCGAAATCCCTCCGGTCGCCGTAGGTCTTCGCGATGAGGTACAGCGACTGGGGCGGCGGCAGGACCAGGGTGCGCCGCAGGTAGTGCGCGAGCACGAGGACGCACTCGATGCCCATGCGGATGTTGTTCCAGCCGCCGCTGTCGTACTCGAAGGTGAGGAACTTGTCGGGCTCCGGCGCGCCGAGCGACGCGGGCGCGACGGCCGGCGGGTCCCGCCAGTAGATGACCTCCGAGTCGGCGATGACAGTGCCGTCGCACGTCATGCAGCCGTAGCCCTTCCGCGGCGGCGCGAGCTTCGGCTTCGGCGGCTCGGGCTTCGGCTTCGGCGGCGGCTTCGGCACCGCGACCTTCGACTCGGCCGGCGGCGGCGGCGGCGGATCCGCCGCCTTCGCGGGCGGCCGCGGCGCGGCGGGCGGCCGCGGCGCCCGCGGCGCCAAGTTGTCCAGCTCCTCCGTCGCCGGCGGCCTCGCCGGCGGCCTCGCCGGCGGCCTCGGCGGCGGCGGCGGCGGCGGCGGATCGGACGCCGCGGGCGCGGCGGGCGGCGGCCGCTGGATGGCGAAGGGTCCCGCGTGCGGCGCCGCCTCTGCGGCGAAGGGTGCCGGTCGGCGACGCGCCCGGCGCCTGCCCGCGCAGACTCGCGTGGCTCGCCGTTGTCTGCAGCGTCAGGATCGTCACGCCAAAGCCCAGGGCGAACGCCACCAGCACGACCGGTTTGATGCGCATCGTTGACGTGTCTTACGGCGCGGCGAGGCTGCTTGGGTGGTCCTACGCTTGCTACGCGCGACGCCACATCGCGTGCGGCGCTCGCTGAAGTCAGACTTTGCCACAACAAAATCTTGCTTGCCCTCGACGCTCCGACGCCGATCTCGAGTTGCACGCGCGCCGCGCCGCGCCGCGCCGCCACAGCACACCATGTCGGAGCTCGCCGCGTCCATCGGTTGCTGGTACGCGTTCTGGTTCGCGTGCTACAAGCTGTCCCACGTCGCCAACGGCATCCTCTTCGAGACCTACGGCGCCCTCAAGCCCGCGACGCAGGCCTACTGGTGCGCGAGCTCCGTGAGTTCGCTGCACGCGATCGTCATCGTCTACCTGAGCTTCACGGCGGGCGTCGAGCTCGAGGTCTGGACGCGGCCCGACGTCTTCTTCGCGACGAGCGCGCGCTCGGGCCTCACGAACCGCGTCTTCGTCGGCTACCTGCTCTGCGATCTGTCCTGCAGCCTCTACTACAACGCGGCCTGGTCCGGCTGGGTCGAGAATCTGGTGCACCACGCCGCGGGCATCTGGTGCTGGAGTACGCTCGAGCGCGACCAGTTCGGCCACATCTTCCTCCTCACGGCGCTCCTCGCCGAGGGCACGACGCCCTTCGTGAACAACCGCTGGTTCCTCGCGCAGAGCGGCATGAAGGACGGCAGGCTCTACTTCTACAACGGCCTGCTCATGACGGGCCTCTGGTTCCTCCTCCGCGTCGTCCTCTTCGCGTGGCTCGGCACGCGGCTCGTGGCGATGCGCGCGGATCTGGCGAAGATCACGGCGTACCAGAGCGTCGTGCTCTACGTGAACTACGCCATCGGCTACGCGCTCCAGCTCTTCTGGTTCCGCAAGATCCTCAAGGGCGCGCTCAAGGCGCTCCGGGGGGGGTCGACGAAGGAGGCCGCCAAGGCCGCCTGAGGGCGGCGTCGCCGCTAAGCACCCTGTCGTGACTCGGCGAACGAAGCGGCGTTACTACGGGGGGCTCATCGACTCGACGACGTCGCGAGCGGGAGCCGCGTGCCGCCGTCGTCGCGGCCCGCGCCGGACGAGCCGCCGCGGGGCTTCGCGGGCGTCCGCGCGGGCGCGCGGGGCTCCGCGGAGGACCCGGCCGGCCGGCCGTCGTCCGTGGACGACGTCCGCCGGCCGCCGGCGAAGGGGAGCCGCGGCACGGGCGGCGCGCGGTCCTTCTTCGACGAGATCCGCCGGCTCCCGCGGAGCGCGACGGTGTTGACGGCGCCGGCCTTGGCGCCCTGGGCCTGCTGGTCCGGCGGCGGCGGCGGCTTCGGCGGCCGCTTGACGATGTGGGGGTCCGACGGCACGTCCGTGCCCAGCATCGTCGTGTACAAGCTCCCCGGGCCCGGGCCGACGTGCTCGCCGTCCTTGAAGACGAGGTCGAAGCCGCCGACGCGGACCTCGTCGCCGCTCAGCTTCTTGTCGACGTCGATGATGTCCAGCAAGCTGTCGAGCATGGCGTACTTCAGGTCGTGGTCGTCGGGCGTGTTCGCCGTCATCGACGGGCCCGCGTTGACCTCCAGGAGCCAGGGCTTGAACGCGTCGTCGAAGAGGATGTCGTAGCCGTAGAGCTCGAAGCAGTGCTTGTCCGCAATAATAACCTGCTGGACGGCGAAGAGGGACCGGAGGATGAGCATGTGGATGTCGCGGAATAAAGCGTCGACTTTCTCGCGGCCGTAGACCGACATGAGGAACAGCTTCATGTTCAACAATTCCCACTTGCCGCCGCCCGTCGACGCGTCGTAGTCGTCGCTCTTCTTCTGGATGGCGACGTTCGTCAGGTGCATGAGCTGGTTGTCGATGTCGCCCTTGGAGTTGACGACCTTGCTGTAGCGCTTCGTGCTGAAGCGGCAGAAGCCGCTCCGGTACATCCAGACCGTCAGGGGCATGTAGGACGTCACCAAGACGTAGAGCCGCAGGTCGAACTTCTTGCCGCCGATGAGGTAGGGGTTGTTGACGTACTTCTGGACGACGTACGTCTCCGCGTCCGGCTTTTCCGGTTTGTCCCGGCGGTCGTCGTCCTGGAGGCGCCAGCGGCTCTCGGACTTCCACTTGCTAATCTGGCTAATCTTCGTGAAGATGAAGATGCCCTTGCCCTGGGACCGGCCCACGGGCTTCATGATCCACACGTTGTCGCCGCCCGCGCCGCGTTTGAACTCCTCCGCGAAGAGCGCGTAGTCGCCCGGGAGCACGTAGGTCTGGGGCCAGAAGTCGTACTTCTGCGCCTCCTCGCCGCCGCCGTCGCGCTGGAGCATGCGCTTCGCGCGCTTCAGGTTCTTGATGAGTAGGTCTTTCCGGCAGAGCTCGCGGTGGTTCCGGAAGTGGTTGAGCTTCTGGGTCGGGTTGAGGTGGATGCCGTCCATGAACTCCGTGACCCACTCCTTCTCCGCCCAGTGGAAGTCCCAGTCCATGCCCTCCGTCTCCTTCCAGCCGCGCGCCTTGAGCACGTCGTAGACCACGTTGCGGAACGACGTCCGGAACGTCGTCGGCATCCTTCTTTGGAACGAAGCGGCGGACACGAAGCGGTCGCGCGACGGCGGCGGCGGCGGCGCGCTACGAGACCATCTTGGGCCGCGCGCGCAGGCCCGGCCGGCGCCAAACGACGAGCGCGAGGTCGGGCAGCCTCGACGGGCTGGCGCGCCGGGCCGATATGGTCGGCAAGATGCCCTCGGTTTTGGGCCAATACAAAACAAGCACACCGCAGTTTGCCACTGCGTCGCGCGGCAATTGCGCCGCCCGTGCTCGCGATGAACAACCCGACGCGGCTGAGCGGGTTCTGCGGCACGCCCATCGGGCTGAAGCGCGACGGCGCGCGGCCGCCCTGGTCGCGGCGCGATAGCGAGGCGAGCGACTACAGCTGCGCCTACGAGGTCGACGTCGACGGCCTCGACGAGGGCGACCTCGTGAAGCTCAAGCTGCCGGAGCTCCCCGCGCACGTGCGCGACGCCTTCCGCGCCGTCGCCCGGGGCGACGCGGCGATGCTCGAGGCCGCGCTCGACGGCGATGAACGGTTAGTTTACTGCGCGAACCAGGGCGGCTCGTCGCTGCTCGAGGTCGCGCGGGAGCGCGGCCACGATGCCTGCGTGGACGTGCTGCGGCGGCGGGAGCGCGCGAACGCGCTCCTGCGCACGCCCGCGGTCCCCGAGGAGGCGTCCGTCGCGTCGACGGGGTCGCCGCCGTCCGCGTCGACGGAATCGCCGCCGTGCGCGGCGCCGGCCTGGTACGACACGCCCGCCCGGGCCATCTGGACGCCGCCGCTGAAGCGCACGCCCAAGGCGATGCCGCTGGACGACTGGCTCGAGGCGCAGGAGCTCGGGCCGCTGTCCGAGAGCCTGAGCGACATGGCCGGCGACGTCGACGACCTGAAGGAGATGACGGACGACGACGTCGACGAGCTCCTCGCGGCGGCGACGGCCCTCTTCGCCAGCGCGACGCTGCGGGACTCCTGCGAGTCGCGGCTCCGCGACTCGCTCCGGGCCATCGGCGCGAACGTCTCCGCGTCGTCCGGCGGCGACCGCGGCGACGACGGCGGCGACGGCGGCGACGGCGCGAGCCTCGACGCCGTCGACGACTTCGACGAGCGCGGCGACTTCGACGACGACGACGCCGACGGCGAGGTGCCGGCCGTGCGGCCCTGCCTCGTGTTGTCGCCCGCGGAGGCCGAGGGCGTCACGAACCAGGTGTGCGCGCCGCCGGATCCGCCGGCGGTGTCGCCGCCGACGCCCGACCCCAAGGCGCCGCCGGACCTGCCGCCCTTCTCCGAGCTCGGCAAGGACGGCAACTTCACGACGCCGCGGCCGGCGCGCGGCGCCGGCGACCCGTTCTCCGAGGCGCGCGACGCGCGGGACCCGTGGCCCGCGTGCCCCTTCTCGGAGCTGAGCCACACGGTCTCGCCCGTCCGCGACGAGGGGGCGTAATTTATTTTGATGGGCTTGGGCGTAATTTATTTTGATGGGCTTGAGCGAACGAAGAGGGGGGTCGGGTCCTTTGACGCCTCCTAGGCCGCGCGCGCGCGCGCCAGCCCCTTTTTTTTCTCCCGGCCTGAGGAGGCGCACCGGGGGCGCCCGGGGCGCCGCGGGCACGTCCGCGAGTGCGCGAGGCCCGGATGGACGATAAGATGCGGCAATCGCGAGATTACGCCATGTCAGCCGAGGCCTCAGCCGAGTCGAGACTTTGGTCCGAGAAGGCGACGCTCGCTCTCGTCAGAGTGCTTCGCGACTCGCTCTCGCGCGCCGCCTCGCCGCCACCGAACCTCTTGCCGCCTCGCCGCCACCGCAACCTCCCTTCATTCACTTCGCCGGCGCCCCTGCGTTCACTCTCTCGTCCACTCGCCCAGGTAATGTCACGTTACAAGGCGAAGAAGGAGTGCCCGACGTGCCTGAACACGTTCACCCCGCAAGCATTTTCCATTCACGTGAAGTACTGCGGGCAGCCGAAGGTGGTCTACACGCTCGCGCCGCCGGATTTCCGTGCGAACCTCGACCCGCGGGTGTGCCCGACGTGCTCTTTGAAAGCGAGGCCGAAGAAGCAACTCAACACACAAACCAATGAGTATGAGCCCGTGTGCTGCGCCTGGGGCGAGCGCGGCCACAAGGGCGCGGCCGACGAGGAGACAGCGCGGCAGGCTTCTAACGAAAAAGAGTGCGACCGGAAACGAGACATGCGCGACGTCGACGGGATCTCCTTCCAGCGAGCCCGCGGCGACGATATCGTGCACTGGAATAAGCCATTTGATGCGACGGGTGTCCCCCGCAGCGAGGCCTTGCACGCCTTCGTGCGGGACTGCCCGAACTGGAAGGAGCTGCTGGGCTGGAACCCCAACGACTACCGAGACGCGCTGGACGACGTCGTCGACGCCAAGATCGTTTCGCTGTGCCGACTCGTTCTCGGCGACGCTTCGCCGCACCACCGCTTTCAAGTGTTTATGCAATTATACAAGCTGTACCCATCGGAGACGGTTTCGTCCATCGACGACTGCCACTACTCGCACATCGCGGAGTCGGCCATCATACTCGTGACGAAGGAGGACAACATGTTCGGCAACCTGTCGCCCCTGATTACCCTGCTCGTCAGCGGCTTGGTGGACGGCGCGCTGCAGCAGGGCATGCTCTCGCGGCAGGTGCGCGCCGTCAAGTCGGACAACCGCCGCAACGCCGCCGGACGTCAGTCGCGCGCGGCTTTGGAGACGGCGAAGAAGAATGCGTACCACTCGCTCGGCCCCCTCGCGCGGCGCGCGCTGGGCGTGCTCCGGTCCAACGACGTCTTCTCCGGCCTCGGCTTCGATGGGGGGGGAGAACGGCTGGGACTTCGCGCGACGCTGGGGGTCCTTGGGGTCCTCGGGCTTTGGGACGCGGCTGTCGGCGGACGGGCTCCGCGTCCTCGCGGTCCGCGGCCCGCTCATGTTCCGCGTCGCGTCCCTGAAGCAGGCGACGGCGGCCGGCTGCGACTTCGGCAGCCTGGGGAACCAGACCGTCCCTTTGATGGCGTTCAACTCCAGGGCCGCCGACGAAATCCTCGTCGGCGACTCTACGACGCGATCCCACTCGCGACCGGCCAACGACGACATCGCGCGGACGCTGCCGACGCTCGGGGCCGGCGACAAGGTCAAGTTCTTCGTGTCGCTCGACGCGAGCAACGTCATCGAGTACGTGGGCATCGAGGGCGACTCCTGGCGGCGCGACTCCGTCAAGGCCTACGGGCACTTCTCGGAGACGTACGACGAGTTGGTCTTCGCGCAGAAGTCTGACACTTCCTGGGAGGCCTGGCTCGTCAATCTTTGCCGCCAGGACGGCTGCGGCGGCGTCGTCGACGGCTTCGACGTGTCCTTCGAGGTCAACGGCGTCAAGGTAGGGCGCGACCTCTTCACGCACCCCCTGGACGTGAAGATTTCGAACGCGCTGGACGCGAACCAGGAGCGCATCGCCGACAACCGCGAGTTCGGCGCGAGCGACGTCCCGGACGACGACTGGCCCGGCAACCGCGAGCTGCGCGTGCGATGCCTCGCGGCGTGCATGCCGCTCGCGGACGACGCGTTCCGCGTCTACAGCGTCGTCTTCGAGAAGCGCCTCGTCGCCGCGATGGCCAGCGGCGACGCCTCCCAGGTCGTCAAGGTCCTCGAGGCTTGTTACGGCGACGTCCGGGACACGGCCGAGTCCATGGGCGCGGACGGCTACCGCACGGCGATCCGCGAGCAGTTCCGGGCCCAGTGCGCGCCGGCGATCTTTGAGCGCCTCTCGCGGCCGCGGCGCGTGCGCGTCGTCACGTACCGCGTCGACGACCTCGACGCGGCCCCGACGGAGCGCTTCGTCGACGTCCCGCGGCTCGCGGCGCGCGTCGGCCTGGAGGCGGCCGCGCCGGCCCAGCCAGCCCCCGGCCGGCCCGTGCCGGACGCGCGGGCGTTCGCCGCGCCCGCGCGGCCGTCGCCGCTCGACGACGGCCACCTCGACCTCGACGTGCCCGAATCGGAGGCGCCGACGAGCCGCTCGCGCGAGAAGCCGCCGCCGCCCCCGGACCGCTACGACCCGCTCACGAGCGGCACGTCGCTCTTCGGCGAACCGTAAGCATATTAAGCGGAGTTTGCAGGGCGAGCTACTAGTAGAAGGGAGCGTACCAGGCGCGGACGGCGCCGGCGCTGCACCGCGTCCTCGTCAGCGACCGCGACCGCGCCTTCGCCGAGGCCGTCCCGCGCAAGGGGCCCGCGGCCGTGGTCGTCGGCCTCGCGCACGTGCCCGGCGTCGTCCGCTGGCTAAAAGACAGGAGTTAGTCGTCCGCTGGCTCGATAGCTCGCGTGTTTAGCGGACGATTGTCGCGCACTAGCTGCCTATCGCAGCTCGCCCTCCGGGAGGGGCGACATGTCGAACATGCCGGGCGTCAGCTTGGCCTCCTCGAGCATCTCCATCTTCCGCGCGAGCGTCCGCTGCAGCTCCTTGTCCTTGGCCGCGATGGCCTCCTTGAGCTGGCCGTTGAGCTCCGACAGCATCTCCTCGTCGCTGTACTTGGCCGGGTCCTGCGGGCGGAGGAGCTCCGGCGCGCGACGGCGTTTCCGCGTCGACGACTTCGCGTCACGTCATTTTGGACGCGGGCGGCGACCCATTCGCCCATCTCCGTCGGGATCTCGCTCAGCGGCTCGGCGCGGAGCGGCGCGCCGCGCGCGATGGGCGAGAAGCGCTTCGAGGTGCTGGAGAGCGGCGCGAGGCGTGGGAAAGACGCGCGGCTCGCAAAGAGGCGCGTGAGCGGGCGCGCGCGCGACTGCGCGCCGAAGGCCGCCGCTGCGGCCACGCAGATCGCGAGCAGGAGCTTTTGCATCGCGCGTACGGCACCTGGTGCAGCGGCAGGTTGCGCACTTCAGTGCGAAGGAGCTCGTGCAGAGCTCAACCTGGCCAGCAAATTCGACAAAGGCACCATGCAATTCAACATCATGCCGGTGAAGCAGATGCAGTGGGAGGTCCCACAATGCGAGGAGGAAACTTTAGTGAGCACGAAAGCATTAGGTCGGAATTCATCAATGGCCCAACATGCAATTCAACATCACTTTAGCCACAGCGGCCGCGCGTCCTGGCCCCGCCGCTGG